CAAGTTCAATGCAAAACTGACTTGGTCATGGAGGTCAAAGGTAGTTGTGGAGCGGTATTTTTCTGACTGGAGGGCTGTGACTAGTGGTGTTCCACAAGGATTGGTGCTGGGACCCCTGTTGTTTGCAATATATATGTATATGATTTGGAGGGGAATGTAGGCTGTCTGATTAGTAAGTTTGCAGACAACTTGAAAATTGGTGAAGTTGCGGATAGTGAAGAAGTTTGTCAAAGGATACGGCAGGATATAGATCAGTTGGAAAGTTAGGTGGAGAAATGGCAGATGGAATTTAATCTGGATAAGTGTGAGGTGATGCATTTTGGGAGATCAAATGCAAGATGAAAGTATACAGTAAATGGCAGAATCCTTAGGAGCATTGATATATGGAGGGATCTTGGGGTGCAAGTCCATAGCTCCCTGAAAGTGGCAACACCAGTGGATAAGGTGGTAAAGAAGACATACGGCATGCTTGCTTTCATCAGTTGAGGCACTGAGTGTAAAAGTTGGCAAATCATGTTGCAGCTGCACAAAACTTTAGTTAGGCGACACTTGGAATATCGTGTGCAGTTCTGGTTGCCACACTGTAGGAAAGATGTGGAGGCTTTGGAGAGGGTGCAAAAGATTCTGAATTGTCCTCTGGGCAATTACGGATGGGCAATAAATGCTGTCTAGCCACTGATGCCCTCATCCCATTAATGAATTTAAAAAATCATAAATATAGAGCAAGATTTATTGATTATTTAAGTAGAAGAAAGAGTTCAATTAGTTACAATGGACAGCAAACAGGTTAAGAGAGACCAAGTTTTCTAAACCTGCCTAAAGCCAAGAGAAGTACTGCTCCAGGAACAAGACGTTTTTGAACAATCAGACAAGTAGCAATCAATAGAACATTTCATCAGATGTTCAAGACTCTTGGAAGAACCCACAGAAAAAGAAAATCCATTGTGGTAAGTTATGATGACAAATAAAAAAAAGTTTCACATGGGCTGAGAAGAGACAGTGACCAGCCAGCTGAAATAGGCTGAAGCCCATTTGGGAAGAACATTAACCTGCTCTATCAATATCCTTTCTCCCACAAAACTCCACACACCCCCAGTATTGCTGCCCCCTCCACACTTCGCATCAGCTCTGATGAGGAGCCATCTAGACTCAAAACGTTAGCTTCCTCTCTCTCTATGGATGTTGCCTTACCTGCTGTGATCTCCAACATTTTTTTGTTTTCTTGTAAGAACAAATTAATGATCAAGGATGTATTACTATTCACGAGTATTATGTTGAAGGATGACCAGAAAGTCAAAGTTGTACAGGACAGAAACAGACCCTTCAGTCCAACTCAACCATGCTGACCAAATGTTCAGTGAGTTGGCCAAGAACACATAACCTTTTACGAACAACACCTCTCCTGGGCCAGCAATATATCATTCTTACCTCTCTGCAGGGCAGGCAACTTGGTACAGATTAGTGACTTGCTGTGAGACCACAGAGAAAGTATCTGCCATTCTGATTAAGTTGGCATCTATGTTGGCATATGTAATCTGCATAGCCAATCATTAAGGCCTGCAGGGATTAGACTTTCAGAATTGAAGTTGCAGTCCATCCATTGAAGAGCAGCTGACTAGTAAGTTTAGTAGGAACAACCTTCTCAGCCAAGGACATCCAAAAGAAAACAGGTTCTCTGGGGTAGAGACTTTAGAAATCACAAAGATTTAATTGATCTCTCCATCCTCAAGAAAAGGAGATAAGGTACAAATCAAGATCAACAGTCCTCAAGCTACAAATTGTAAATCTGAAGAGAAGGCAATCTAGAACAATTGTAAATCCTCTAGATTGTCTGAATTTGTGAAGTCATTGACTTTAACAGGGATGAGGTAGTGGTAAAGATAAATACGTTCATGGATGTATAAATGTTAACTGTGAGAAAAAGATTGTGGGAGATGTTGTATAAAGTATTGGTTCTGAAAGGGTGAGTGTTAGTCACTGCATTAAAAAGTACCAATCTACTGATATCATGAGGCTTGGAATAGAAATGGCAGAACATCTTGAAATTTTTATAGAGGCCCAATAGTTTTAGTTGCAATGCCCAGATCTTCTGATCAGGTTCAAAGACCCTACTTCAGACCCTGATCAGACAAAGAAATGTACACTTCTCCTTGGAGGAGTTTTCCGAGTGAACCTCTGGGCCAATAGACTACAGCTGAAGCAGTTTAGTCTAAGCCAGGAATCCTTGCAGCTAGGAAAGAAATGAATCAGCATTGAAATCACTTCCCATTTTTCAATGCTGGTCGCAATATTCAAGCATTTAAAGATCCTGAAGGTACTTTGACAAATGCTGACAGAAGATAAGATAAGAGTTTAAGATAAGCGGGAGAGCAAGTACAATGCCAAGTGGGTAGGGGGCTTTTAGGGTGATAGTTGAGTGAGGTAAAGTAAGGGAGTAGGGCGTCATACTGGGGGAAGGACAGGGGGAGCAGCATTGTGGGGTGCCAGGTGGATAATGGATTACAGGTGCCAGGTGAGTGCAGGGGTAGGGTATAGATAGGGACTGGGGTGGTTGGTGGGTAACCTTCCCTGATTAACTGAAACTAGGTGTGTTCGCAACTGACTAACACTGGATTTTGTACTTGTCCAAATTTACATTCCACCTCCATCTTTTGAATGTCACAATCAGTGTTTCCCATATTGATAGTTGTTTTACAGTCCAGTATGAAATTGATTTGCTCGTTAACATATCTGTACGTTAACATACCTGTTCTTATTTTGGGCAAATAACAGTGCTATTTAAAGCAGTGATCAGTGAAATGTAAACATGTAAAGTATTTTGGCACACAAATAATCATTGAATTTTGTATAACAGAGGGCAATACAATGTAGTGATATAAAGCAAATCACAATATTTTCCACAACAAAGCTTTCAAAATCAAAACCGTGGCCATAACATGGGGAACTAATGAACCTGCTTTCCACTTAAACTTTATTCCAAATTTAACATTTAATCAAGTCAGCAATCAGGCAGTTTAAATGTTATCTTGTGAAATGCTTCAAATCAAAACACACCACTCACTGTCATATTGGCTAAGTCCAATAGGAAAGTATCAAGTTTGAACTTTGATTTTGATTTTAATTAATGATCTTGTCCAGTACAAACCAGGAGCTTAACACCCTTTTTTAAGGATGGAAAAATCAAGAAGTCTCAATCATTGTGCAATGACATCTTCCGGAAATTTCAGCTCTGCACATACTGAGTAGGAAAGGGAACTTGACACAAATGCCTCAGACAACTCATCAAACTGTCAACATACATGCCTAGACTTGGATAAAAGCACTGCAGGTCATCAATGTTCAATGTATACAATCAACAGTCATCATGTTTATATGGAGGAAGAAAATTGGACAAAAGTATTGTTTAAAATCACAGCTGAGGGATATCATATTATTACCGATAGTTCCCTTTGCTTCATTTTAATTGTATTAATGCAAGAACTTCACAAAAATGAAATGAAAACAAAAACAAAAACCATATATGCTGTACAGAAGAGATGCAGGCAGTTCAGGTTATTGTAGATAAGATTTGTACCTTACTCAACGACACCATCCATTCCACACATACACGTACCAAAAGCTAATAGTGCACAAATAATTCCCAAGAACCAACTATAATTTGTATTATTCTTTCCACCAGGTGTATTTCCAGATCCATTTCTAGCAACTACATAATTTCCCCTCAGTACCCTCCTAGCTTCACTTGGCTGCTGTTTTTATTGATCCATGACTGCTCTCCCAAAGGTATTGCTATACATAGATGAATTATATAAGCACTTGTAAATTTTGATATACAACTTGTAACAAAGCAAGATGCAGTCATAGAGTCATAGAGCATGGAAATAGACCCATCAGTCCAACTCGTCCATGCCGACTAGACATCCCAATCTGATCTAGTTCTGTTTGCCAGCATTTGGCTCATATCCCTCTAAACCCTTCCTATTCACATACCCATCCAGATGCCTTTTAAATGTTGTAATTGTACCAGCCTCCACCAATTCC